GAGGGTAGAAAGGTATTGTTACCTTTGCCATGTCTTCCCGAGTTTCTCATGGCTGGGCTCTAAATTCTCGAACGCAACACCTTTCACGTGGGCATTAGATTTTTAGAAGAATACTATTGGCATTAAATTTTATACAGCCATCATTATTTACCACCACGTTTTCCATGATATGAATCGACTCAAGACTTCAAGAAACGATACAAGACAAGAGAAAACCAAAGAAGATTTTAAGCGTTTTAAAATTATTTTAAAAAAATTAAATTATTTTTATTTTTTTACTTTAAATTAATATTTTTTTGATATTTTCAGATTATTTTGATATACTAATATTAAAAATAATTAAAAATAAATATATTATTTTAATATATTTATAAATTAAAAATACTTTAAAAATAATCACAATTATCCTTCCAAGCTCACTATGTTTCAAGAGATATCATTGCTCTTAAGACTTCTGTTTCTTCGGGTTGCTAATATTATCTATGTTATTTTGTGCTGGTGACATCATGATGGGATGTGATGAGATCATGGACTTGGGTGATTCTGAAGAATGTTTTGGGTTTTAGCTAGGTGTGATGATGTACAAGTGGATCAAGAGTTGGGCCAGGCTATTTTGTGATGATTTAAATCGTATGCTTCTCCTTTTTGTTTTTCTAAAGAAAGTTCTATCAACTGCATTTCTGCAATGATTTTATTTTACGCTACGTATACATGCATTCCTAAAAGCTTTAGGATCACTTTCAAGTTTTTTAAAATGATTTTAAATTTGCAATGATTTTATTTTATTAGATCTAAAAATAGATGACTGTTCTGTTAGTATTTATAGCTAGAGTAATTTCAATGCACAAGCTAGATAAAAAAACAAATATAGTTTAGCTTTTATTCTTTCACAATTTACATTTTAATGGAGTAGCTAAACAAATAGTCATTTTGACTATTTATTTACTTGGCAACTATTTCAACATTTCACTATAAAAATTGTTAAAATAATAATTGTTGGTATTCATTGGCCAACGACTTTTTTTTTCTTTAAATATAGAAGAATTTTTTTTTAAATACACGAAGAAAAAACTTGTAGTTTTAAAATTTTGTATTGTACCTTATCCTTTTCTCAAATTTAAAAAAACAAGAATCAATTATTCTCCGGTTAATTATTAACATTGGTTATGTTAATTAGCTGAAATTAAAAGGTATGCTTGTTTAAAAACTTTTTCTATTCTCTTTTATATCTCTTGATTTTTTAGATCTTTTGTTGTTAATTTAATATTTGTGATGATTTTTATTTTTATTTTATTTTATATTTTTAGTATGGGTTAAGGAAGACAATTTTTATTTATGTTATTATCTTTGATAAAATTGAGAGGAATTAACAATGGTAGTTGATATTGATATAAAGATAGAGTGACATATTTAAAATTTATTTTTAATTGTCTGTTTTAGTTTGAGGTCAATTATAATTTATCTTGTTGAAAATAAAATTAAACTAGTATATCGATTCTCTTTTCATTTCAAAAAATAGTCAAATTGTTATGTTATAACAAGTAGGAGGCAATGCTTATTATTAATTCGCATGTATGAAAACTACTTTGCTAGACATTGAATGTGAGCTTCTTTTACACTTTCTTATAAGGTTTTAATTTGATTTTTTTTAATATAGATGGATTCAAATTTTCCAAGTCTTTTACCAACTTTCTTATGAATGAGTCAGAAAATATTCTCTCTTAACCAAGTAATTCTAATCAATTAATTCATGACTTAACATACTCGAATTTATATGTCTATTCGGCAAAAAAATCACAAAGAAGTAAAAATTTCTCACTAGAGGAGGATTGTTTACTTGTCTCTACATGGCTAAATACAAGCAAGGATTCAATTATAGAAGTTGAACAACAAACAAAACAATTGTGGGCTCACGTACATGCTTACTTTGTAAAGAATAGAGAAAACTTGAATAATCGTTCACAAATAAGCATATCAAGTAGATGACAAGAAATAAATAGAGAAGTCGGTAAATTT